AGGATTATAACTAAGCTTAATAAATCTTTTTCTTGATGTCATCAGAGCCACTAAGAATTGAAAAACTTCATTCGTGAAGAAAATCTTTAAAAAATCAACATTATCCCCAATCGATAGTTGAACAAAACACATTCCCAATCAAACAAACAAACATGGAAAACATGTGAAATGCAACTATTTATTTTCTTCGATAAGACGGGATAGGGCTATAATTTGGGTGTTCCAATCCAAAACTGACCTTATTTAACCTAAGTTTTAGAATGAATTGGATTTGAGTTTTTGGGCCGTGAGTKGGCCTCAACTAGAAAATTTGGTCCAAAGAATGAATAAAAACTATTCAAAATGTATTGCAAATTTCTTATAAAAAAATGTATTACAAATTTCTTTCCAATCGATTTGTGTTGGATCTCTTATAACTCTACTTTGTTTATTTCTCCTGTTTCATGGAGAAGAAGATCGAGGTTAGAATGGATTAACAAACTACAAGCTTCATCCACTGAACTTGCAATATGTTAAAGAAGCATGGGATAGTCAAAAAAGACATTGAGGTTAGAATGGGTTAACGATCTTTTGTCCTTAATTTGTTTTGTTCTATTTCTTCTTCCTCTCACTTCCTTGAATTGGGTTCTGTTACTTCTTTGTCTTGTTAACCTCTCGATGCATAACAGATTCAGAGAAAGAGGATTGGCGTTTAACATCAATGTTGTGTTGGAGGGTAGGGTCTAGAGATTTCTAAGACATTCTTTGTTTTTGCTAATGACAAGGTAAATCCGTTCTTGCATCCACACGTAACAGTTGGTGTATCAACAGTATAAGAAATTGGGAACTTTGGAAGACCAATATGTTCTACACTTGGGGAAAAAGTCAGTTTGAACTTTTGAGAGGAAAATCAAAAATGGGTATTCAAGCTGAAGAAACATCAAATGTAGTGAAAAGTGAAAGAGAGCTACTAGACCCAATCTCATTATCTTATTCCACGACAATAAGATCATAAACAGAGACTAAAATTTCTAGTGAAAAGTATAAATTGTCAAAATTGTCTATATTTTTATTGAATTTTAATATTATTTTTTTAAGAAAAAAAAATCGTTTATTTTATCAAAATGCCTTAGGAGGGGGGCATGAAACCTAACCCTTAACGTAAAACTATGCAAAGAAAATATTCTAATTCATGTTTAGGCTCAAAAATAAAGATTTTCAATAAAAATAATTGGTCGATAACCTTTGTTTGGTCTCAATAATCTCTGCATCGCTTCAGATTGATTATTAGGCACTATCTCCCATTCCTCCTTAGACTTCCCTTTTTTTCTCTGTAATTGCCCATTGGTCTCAATAATCTCTTCATTGCTTCTGTTTTTCACTCTATTTTGGCAAGGTTTCCCATTCGATTTTGAAGAGATTCACTAAGGCCCTATTTGGCAAGTCTTTTTGAAAGATTTGCTGGGCTTTTAGAAGCCTGATAGACCAAAATTCGTCTTTTTCTATTTGGCTCATGAAAGCCTGTTAGACCGGAAGACATGAGCCAAAAAAGACTCTAAAAGCCCAAGGTGATCTGGATATGAAAATCTACGAGCAAAGCTTATGGTCTATTCGAGCTTCTCAACTTCCTGAGATGTTTGCCAAAAATTCGAAAATAGGTCTTCTCCACAAGTATAATCTAGACTCGCTATTCACTATGTTCAAGTTCTTCTTTGTGTTCTCATTTTTCATCGATAGCCATCATTCTTCACCAATTTCAGGTATAATAAACCACCATTTCGAAAATTTTGATTCATGTTGTTGGGTTCAAACTCGACACTACATCGAGTTAAAACATCGGGGGAGGTCTAGGGCAAGGTTGAAGATGGCATAGAAGGAGAGAAGATAAAGCTGATAAAAGTAGAGGGAGAGTGTGTGTGAGAGAGAGAGAGATAGAGAAATATTGAGGGAATGCACAAAGAGAGTGGAAGAGAGAATGAAAGAACGAAATGGAGTGAACAAATCACCACTATTGTGATTTGTAGCGGCGGGGAAAGAACAGAGGTGGTGGAAACCAGAAAATGAAGAAGAAAAAAAAAGAGAAGAAAGGGAAGTAGAGGAAGGGAGGAAAACATGAAGAGAGAGAGAGAGAGAGAAAGAGAGAATCAAAGGATAAGAGACCTCGGATAAAGTCGTCACTGCTACTGTGGCAGAATTACGTTCCTCGCATATGTGAAGAAGATGAACAGGGCCTTTCGAGCCACTACTCCAACTGCATGGAAGAGAAAGAGGACAGTGGGGATCGAGAAGAGAGAGGGAAAGAGAAAAAACAAAAGAGAAAAATCAAAGTGGGGAGATTGGGGGAAGGATTTTACACCGTTCCACCACTATGTGTCAAGAGGAAGAGGAGGATGAATAGTAAATTAGTTGAAATGAAAAATTTTTGGATATATTTATTTGTAGGGTTAAGGGTATTTTGGCAATTTTGGAGAAGTTCAGGGGTATTTTGGTAATTTTAAGAAAGTTTAGGGTATTTTGGTAATTTCAAAAAAAATGGGTCAAATCAAAATTCCAATCCAATGTTGGGGGGTTCTGGGTCAAATTATGAAGGACTTAGATGAGTTTGAGCATACACAATAGTTTTGTGTGAGCCAATGAGATTGGCTAAAGTTGAATCTTTTTAGATAGGTGGTCCAGTCAATCTAGAGCTTTGAAACAGAACCTTGCTACRATAAAGGGGGAAATGAGGGAATCTTTGGTTGAAAATTGTCAAGGTGGGGTTTTTGAACATTATAAACCGATTAGTGGGRTCAGATTGACCCAATTAGGCCTGGATCAGGTAAATATGAAGGGGGAGTGGTTCGGTCAATCCAGAGCTTTGAAATAGAATCTTGTTGCGATGAAGGGGAAAATGAAGAAATCTTTTATTAAAATTTATCATGGTGGGGTTTTTGAACATTTTGGACCAATTGGTGGGGTTAGATTGACCAAACTAGACATGGATCACATAAATCTGGAGGGGTAATGATTCGGTCAATCTGGAGCTTTAAAATAAAACCTTAGTGCGATGAAGGGGAAATTGAGTGAATCTTTAGTTGGAATTTTGTTGGTAGGTATTGTGGGACTCACAAGTAATATTTGCATGTTTGAATGTGTATGCTCACCAAATGGTCTTTAGGTCTTTCTAGCTTTTGAAAAGAAATTGCAACCAAACGGTCTTTAGTCTTTGAAGATCTACCTGTGAAAGCTTGTTGGTCTTTCAAGGTGTTGAACTTTTGGAAGATCTTCCTAAAATGACTTGCCAAATGCCTCCTAACTCTCTTCCAATCCTCTACATTTAACCTTTCCTCCACCTGTTGGTCATCTTCCACCCTCTATTACATAGTCAGATCATCTCAACATCATTACTTCATGACAAGTAGTGYAAATGTCACCCTCTCACCAGTAGAGGTGTCAATTGGATCGGATTTGGTCCAGTCTGATCTGGTCCAATATGAGTCCATTACAGATGGACCAGGTCCAATGTAATCTGATGAATATTCTAGACCATTTTGGACCAGTCCAATTCAATGTCTATACCATCCAATCTGTTGAAATTGGTTTTAATTTAGATTGGTTCCAACTCAAACCCAATCCATTGACACCTATATTCTTATATTCTATTAATTGGATCAGATATGGGTTTAATCCGATCCAATCTAGTATAAATTCATTATGGATGGATCGGATCTAATCCAATGCAAAAAATTACTTTGGACCATTAAGTCTACACTAGTCCAATTCAATATGTCTTATTGGTGCATGCATCCAATCTGTCCAAATTAATTTTGATTTGAATAAGTCCAATTCAAAACCAGTCCATTAACACTCCTACTAATACTTTCAGATATTCCAACAGAAAGGGGTAATTTAAATACACTATACATAACTCCCAATCAGGAGCGGAGCCAAGTATAAAGTTGGGGGGTCCTTAGCCCCCGAAACATTTTGTTAAAACCAGATCATACAGTGGGCCCTAGCTAGCCCCCAAAAGGTCCCATTAAAATGTTATGGAGTGTTGTCCAACTCTATAATGCCTCTCCACCTTTATTTCTTTGATAAACCTCTATTGCTTTTACTTCATYCCCCCGACACACTTGGTTGTAAGACTCAAAATCATCTTCCCCAGAATTTTCATTGTATGGAATTTTGTTATGGTAAATTTAAGCTTTATAGCACCATCTTTGGGTGCGGTTATAGTCATTTGGGTTTATACCCGGATCCGATGGAGGGTCCCCCGAAAGGTCTTCTGTATCTCGCAGAAATGATAAATGCAACTTCAGTGGGACTATCGTTTGACTGGTCCTTTTGTAGTCAGTGTAGCGGTAGCAGCAGGGGCAGGGGTTGCAGGGTCAATAACAATAGCCACCGCCGCACCGGTGCAATGTTAATTTCAGCAGCATTCACAATACCAGTATACGCCGGTTCGAAGATGATTAAAAGCATCTTTCTGCATATAAAAACATCCTTCAAGAAATTTGTGAGAAATATAACGCCTACATCAACTCAAAATATTTCAAATAATAAAATTCCCATCACACAACTTTTTATTGATTAATTGAAAATACAATGACAACATAATGCTACTCTACCAAACATCTCCTCCTGGGCTCATGGAAAACTTCCACTCCAAATTCAATTTGATTAGTTACCATAAGGTTAGGATTGTATTTAAGATTTTATTTGGTATAAAAAATAGGAGAGAAATAGAAAATGAAGAGAAGGTTGTTAGGGACTTCACTTTCAGTAAACCACTACGCTAAGCTAACTACATGACTTTGTTTTCCTATTTTTTTTTTTTTTTAAAAAAAAAAACCAAGTCAATAAGAAGGCCAACCACATATCAGCTTAGGGGTGCATATGTGTTGGGCTAATGGTGTGACAAATCGACCCAGAGCCAGAGGCTAGAGTCATGCGTGAAGCAGTGAATCGCGATGACAATGAAAATACTTGACTCGGTCCGAGTCATGGATGAATAGGGTAATCAGATCTTTTCTCGCATGGAAGCCATCTGTTCTACGCACAGATGGGTGAAGGGTAATGTTAGAGTGTCATGCACGCCAGAAACGGATTCTCAACGAAATATACAAGGCAAGGTCCAGGTTAAGGCTACCACCGTTTCTTGCGCCACCCACCTCTTTCTTTTTTCTTCTCCCCCTCTCTACAACCTTTCTTTCCAAGTTCCAACACCCTCCACCAACCTCTCTTCCTTCCACGGCACAAACCGTATTCTCTCCCAAGTCCCAGTTATCAAAAAACTAATAAAAAAGGAAGGAAAAAAAAATAAAAAGCTGTATTATCTTCCTTCATCTCATCAAGAAAGTGAAATCTTAGTAGGCCAGGAATTAATCAGCCTCAAAGACCGCTCTTCTCCCAAATTTCTGTGGCTTCTCCTTCGTTGAAATTCGCGAAATTGGAGTCCCACAAAAATTATACATGAATTCATCATCTACCGCTGCTTGGCGGTTAAGTTTCGATGAGAAACAAAATTCAAGAGTTATGGAAGAGAAGGTTGGTGGGTTTCATCAAGCGTGTTTGTCTTTGCAGTCTGGCCATGGAGGGTATGGGGACAGTCAAAATTGCTACATGACGGAGGAAAAGGAGATGGTGATGGGCCTCGTTCATTCTCACAAGTCCTGCCTCGACCTCGTGCAGAACTGCGATCTCCCTCCACCCATCAAAGTCTTTGCTGCAATCGATAGAACTTTCGCTTCTCCGTATGTATCCATGACATTTCAGAGATTTCAAGGGTGAACAAAAAATCAATAATTTTTTTGCCTTTTTGGAATTGCACGATTTGAAATAACTGATATGAAATCCGTATTATGATTTATAACTCTATTCTTCAGCAAGATCAGCCGAGAATACAGAGAGGATTCTCCTACACTCCCATGTGCGGGCCAAGATGAGAAGCTGGGCTTGTTGAAAGCCTTGCATCTGTCCCAGACTCGGGCAAGGGAAGCAGAGGAGAAGGCAGCACTTATGGCCAAGGAGAGAGATTGTTTGTCTAACTCACTTCTTGAGGAATCATTACAGTTATTTGCCCACCGGCAGTGGGTGAAGCTGCTTGAGATTGAGGTCTCACGATTGCGGTCACAGAAGCAACAGCAGCAGAAACAATCATGTAGTGGCTGCTGCCAATCGGACACAGAGCAGGGAGCAACGAAAGAGGAGAAGGAAGAAGGTGACGTGGGTAGCTTAACATGGTACATGGCTTTTGCACTATGTTTGGGCATTGCTGGAGTAGGATTTGCTTTAGGCTATGGATACCTGTTTTGAATCCGTCGTTTTTCCCTTTCCCTTCCAAACATGGTTAGCTGCTACTTGTTTTGGTGCGAGGTAAGAATGTAGAGTTGTAAAAGCTATGAACCTAGAAATTAAATCTCTCATGTAAAATATAACTAGGATTCAAACAAAAACAGGGGATTTCTGTGCTCCCAAGGAAACTGATAGAACAGGGGCAGCATACTGTTTGTTTTAGTAATGTGGAAGTGGAACCTCCCACCCCCCAAGTCCTATTCACAACTAACACGAAATGGGTGGGGATCTTCATCATCCCCCGGCAACCATGTTTGTGCAATTATTAGTACTGAGAATCCTTGACAATAATATATGGTCATAGTTTCAGATGGTTAAACTCTGCAATCGGTTCTTCTTTCCCTTCACACTAACGGCCCCAAGGTGGGACACTGGGACCAACCGAAATTAATTTGCAAGCCAAAATCCGGGAAAATCTACTTTACAATGGTGAGACTTCTCATTTGAATTTGCTGAGCGTGGCAAGGATGAGTCCGATGACAATCGAACTATTAATCCTGCACAGGCTGTGTCTTGAAGTGGATGAGTCCGATCAGTCTCCATGGCCAAGGAGCTATTGAACTATGGCTAGAGAGCAACTCCAACTCAGGATAGTGTCAACTGCAAAGGAGGCAAAGACATGGCCTGCAGAATTAATGTCAGACACAAGGAATGATATATCAGAGTGACACGTCTTGAGACAAACCAAACAAGAGTTATGGCTGCTCCCGCCGCTTGGCACCAAATGGAGAGAGCTCAGCTAGATAGAGATTCGGGTTGGGACAAAGAAAAGCAGTGGAGGCTCCAATGAGATGTCAAAAGAGATAGCATCCTTTATAACCATGACGCTCCATAAACAAACACTGACACTACACTCGTAATTCATTCAATTTCGTGTTAGAACTTAAAAAGACTCCAAAATAAGGCACCACCGCACCAGAACTGGAAATGTGGCGTCCACACCAGCCCTCAAAGTGGTTGCACGTGTACCTTGCCCAGGCTAGCAGCCAGGCACCACCACTCCTTCCATACAATACAGTGGAGAGATAGAGATGAACCAAATCTATATTCGAGGTTCCACCGCTTGACGCCACAAATGCACCCAATAAATCCATGTTCTCACAAAGCAGACTGCCCCCAAATCTGCAGGCTTGTGAGTTGTGACAGTGGGACTCGCATTCGCACTGCTCCACCAAGCACAACCTGCAAAATCCATTTGGGAATTGGAAATAGTCATCCGCCTCAACCAACCAAGTAGAGCAGGTTTCTTCTGCGTTGCGCCTATGATCCTCTAAATTATCTCTTCTACTTTCAGCTCTCCGTTCCCTAGATCAGATATGGCATAGCGATGAGTGTTAATTGTTCGATCGGCTCAACTTCCGATACCTTATCCCTGAGCCCATGCAGGTGGTTTCAAGTTGCTTCTTTTCATGGCGCTCAGCAACATTAACTTTTCCCTTGAATGAAGAATAAATGAAAAATCTGTGGGGTTCTGGGAAGGACTCACTCAGGAAGCGAAACTTTTTTTTTCTGGGTCTCTAATACTCTGACATTCATGTTCTGCCTCTCAGATAGTGTCTGCCCGTTTCTCTCGCTTCAGTGACTTAAATGAGCATGATGCCATCTAGGGAGAAGAGAATGTGCTTGGAGTGATTTTCCTCAACTCAGCTACAGTTCTTGTAGCATTTGCAGATAGTTTCACTTTTCGCCCCGAAGGAGTTGCATCCCTTCCTCACCAGCTAGCATATCGTGGAATTATCCCTTTTCTTGACATGGAGCCTCAAATGAATTCAATAATTTGTTGTTACAGAACTTCAAATTAATCATTTCCCTTCATTAAAAAGAAATCTTATTTTCAAAACGTAGTTTTGGCATTGAGCAGGATCTCTTTTAGTTTTATCGACACTCGAAGCAAGATCTGAAAGGGGAGTAAATCAAACGATAAATAGAAATAATTTTATAATGGCAAACCGAGCAAGTCCAACCATGAAAATCAGAGCTTTTCATATACATGTATACTGCCTGAAAGGTAGCAAGTTGTCGCTTGCTACCAAGTGTTATTAACCATTAACAAATTCTTATCTTCTGAAAAACCAAACGGTAGAAATACCCACATTTGTCAAATACCTAGGAGAATAGAAGGGAAGAGACTATTTGCAAATGCATTTAGACGTGTAGTAGCAGTTTAAGGGGAATAAGGGAATTTCTGTATACATATATCTATGTAAATGGCATATTTAGTTCAAGTAAACTTACGTTGTCGAAATCCTTCAGACCCGATTGTTGCAGGGGAACTGATTGCCTCACAAACGATAGAAATACCTACATTTGTCAAATACCTAGGAGAATAGAAGGGAAGAGACTATTTGCAAATGCATTTAGATGTGCAGTAGCAGTTTAAGGGGAATAACGGAATTTCTATATACATATATCTATGTAAATGGCATATTTAGTTCAAGTAAACTTACGTTGTCGAAATCCTTCAGACCTGATTGTTGCAGGGGAACTGATTGCCTCACACTTGACCAAGTCAAATTGGAAAAATGGATAGAAACCACCACTATATGAAGCGCAGAAGAATCTCCTAGCTTGAGGTTCTGTTTGAATTACAACCAAAATATACTAGTATTCTCCTGAGCTTAGGTATTGCACTTATTGTCAAACTTAAAACGATGGCTAGATGACGGAATCTTCAACCTGTAACACTTGCCTCTGACTCCCTTCGACAAGCTCAGCCGACTGGTTGATCAGCAGAGCTCCAGATGATCCTGCAAATTCTAAGGGCATTCATACCAGTGGTGGGTTCAAATCTCCTCTTCTTAACCATGCTAGGATAAATGGCACACTCAACCCCAAGACTTGTCAATGATGCCCCTGTCAGTGCCAGATTTGTTGCAAAAATAACTTTTTCTTTTCCCCGGGAATTTCTGAAAAATGGAACCCTGCTCTTCATAAGAAAGTTTTCCATGTAAGGCCAATGCAACTGCAGTGACAGTTTCAAACTTTTCACAAGTCTATTATGCTTGGTTCCAATTGGAAAGCCTAAAAACCAGTATTGCTCCTTATCTTCTATATAAGGCCAATGCAACTGCGGTGGCAGTTCCAAACTTTTCACAAGCCTAAAAACCAGTGTTGCCCGGTTTTCCTCTCTTTCGTGGATCTCCGTTTCCATCTTAACAACATGAGAAGCATATGAAGCACAAATCTCAGAATTGAATATACTCAACATGAGAAACATACTCAACTGATGCAATCGAACTTACAGGCAGAAATTGCTTCAGATTCAATTGGGGTATTTGATTTCAACAGGAAAATATGGCCCCGCCACATGGAAGGTTCTGCAACCAAAGAAGTAATTAAAAAGTTGGATTGCATCAGTTGAGCAGTCACTATAATAAGTCTTACATCAAACCTCTGTTCCAGTAATCTCTTAACCAGTGTCAATAGAAGAGCAGTATTCAAGCTTCTTTCATGAGCCTCATCTATAAGAGACTATAACAATGCATGAAATCTTAGCCGGATTCTTATCATTCATATAGTGTTGCAGTAGACAATGGTCTGTAATAAATATTACCTTATAATCAAATCCCTGCACAGAGCATTCTTGAGATTAAAAACATTAGTTTGGAAAGAAAGAGGGTCAAACACAATGATGGTATGTTTATATATTGTAGAAAAGAAAGAATTCACAAGTGGGGATTGAAGAGTAGCGAGATAGGTCGCACTGGCACAATAGAGAGTTTCGGTGGGTTTAAATTCAGTATTTTTAGTTTACCAAAAAAAATTGTAAAAAAAGTAAAATCTTGGCCCATGCAGGTCTCGAACCTGCGACCTTCGCGTTATTAGCACGACGCTCTAACCAACTGAGMTAATAGGCCATTTACAGAAAAATTTGTTACTTGAAATTTTTAAGCGAAATTCATCTCCCCTATGGGAATTAAATTATAGGCTAAATTATATACATTTTTTTTTTTGTATTATCAAAACATTTTGAGAAAATGACAAAGACCCTCCTTATACTATGGGGTTAGTGAGTAGTGACAAAATCCCCCCTGTACTTTTTTCGCGATATAAACCCCCTAAACTTTAGCCCTTAGACAAATTAAGACCCGTTAGCATTCCATCAGTTAAATTCGAAAAAAATGAAAAATCCAACTATTTAAAATTTTTTAAATGTCCAAATTACCTTTGCTATATTATTCATTGTCTTCTCCATTGAAATTAACTGAAGTGGCCATATCGTGATGGAGGTATATGCTGCTGGGGGTGAATTATTTTATCACATCATTCAACGAGGACACTACAGCAAGAGAAGGGCAGCTGGGTTGACAAATATTATCGTTGGGGCTGTTGAAGCCTACCATTCGCTCGGGGTTATGCTGAAGCCAGAGAATTTCTTGTTGGTTAACAAAGACGATGATTTCTCTCTTAAAGCCATTGATTTTGGTCTCTCGATCTTATTTAAACCAAGTCAAGTATTTACCCATGTTGAATGTCCATATTATGTGGCTCCGGAGGTACTTTGCAAGCATTGTGGACCAGAGGCAGATGTATGGACTGCATGAGTGATACTGTGTATATATTGCTCAGTGGTATGCCACCTTTTTTGGCAGAAACCCAGCAAGGAATTTTTTATGCGGTTCTGAAGGGATTTATTGCCTTTGAATTAGACCCCTGGCCACAGTGTCAAGGATCTTATTAGGAAGATGCTCTGTTCTCAGCGCTTGACTGCTCATGAAGTACTATGTCATCCATGTATTTGTCAAAATGGAATTGCTCCTGACTGAGCATTGGATCCGGCTGTTCTTTCTTGCCTGAAACAGATCTCTGCAATGAATAAATTAAAGAATATGGCTTTGAGGGTAATTGCTGAAAGCCTCTCTGAGGAAGAAATTGCTGGTTTGTGAGAGATGTTTAATGCAATGGATACTGACAATAGTGGTCCAATCACATTTGATGAACTAAAAGCTGGTCGGAAAATAT